TGAAACCGTGTACAGGTTGATTAGGGCACTCAACATACTAGAGAGGAAAAATAAACGAGTCCTTGTCTGTTCCCAACAACATGAACACATAGTTGCTTGAAATGATTTCAGATCTGGGAGGAAGGAGGCTTGGCGATCTCTACAGCTACAGCATTCAGAACAACAAATCATAATAATAATGCATTTTAAGGTGTTTTTCTTGAGGAAGCACAATGACAGCCATCGTATGTTCTATGTAGGGTTCGGGGTCCAGCAAGCTTCTTCCAGATGGAACAGTGCAGGCATGTATGCGATGCAGGAAAGTCCTGACAAGTGAGGAATCCAGCAGGGTGGCTGCAGAAAGGGACTGGCCTTCTGGAAAGCTTATTCACTGGGGCATCGGGAGCAAAACAACAACTTTGGACATGCAACCATCAGATGAGCCCTACCCAGCCATAGTGAGCCTGGGTGTGTGTGGTATTGGATGTTGGCAGATGGAGGTCATGCCCATGTTGGGACTCTGGAGTTAGATTTCATTCAGACCCAGACAGGGGACCTGACAAGACAAGGCAGGCCCTGTCCTAAAGAACTGGGGATTTTACTCAGAACAGTGGGACAAAGCTCAGGCACAGGGAGTGAGATGAGAAGGTGATGGACTGGGGAGGGGAAATCTTATCTCAGGAATAAGGTTGTTATTGTTAATTGTCATTGAGCTATGTACAAGGGAGCTTGTATGTGGGAAAATTCCATGATCCATTCATCCTAATTTTCCACGAACTTTTTATAACGCCTTATATAGCAGAACAAAGCATCGCTCAGTGTTGGGTCATTGTTAGGTAAGTGTCTGAGCCCACTGTGAGATGGTGTCCATCAGTCTCACCGAAGATGTCTTTCATTTTTATTGACCGTCTGTCTACTTGACCAAACATTCTCATCTTGAAACTGGTCTTTTCAGATGAAATGTCCAAGGAAGGCAAGCCAGAGTCTCACCATCCTACCCTTCCCAAGGAGCATTCTGGCTGTACTTCTTCTAAGACTGATTTGCATGTTCTTCTGACAGCCGGCAGTATTTTCAGTATTCTTGACCAACACAACAGTTGGAATGAATCAATGAGTCTTCTATTTTACTTTTTCATTGTTCAGTTTTCCATTGCATAGTTGTTGTTTTTAGGTGCTGTTGAGTTGGTTCCGACTCATAGCAACCTATGCACAGCAGAACCAAACACTGTCTAGTCCTACACCATCCTCAAAACTGTTGTTAGGCTTGAGCCCATTGCTGCTGCCACTGTGCCAATCCGTCTCGTTGGGGTTCTTCCTCTTGTTCGCTGACTCTCCACCTTGTCAAGCATGATGTCTCTCTCCAAGGACTGTTCTCTCCTAACAATATGTCTGATGTATGAGAGATGAATCATATCTTGCCATCTTGTCTTCTAAGGAGCCTTCTGGTTGTACTTCTTCCAACATAGATTTGTTTGTTTTTATAGCAGTCTAAGACACTTGTAATATTCTTCTGCAACACAACAACTCAGATGCATAATTTTTCTGTCATCTTTAATGAGGTCTCGTGCAGCAGACTTGCCTAATGCAATATGTCATTTGATTTCTTGACTGCTGCTTCCATGAGTGTTGATGGTTGATCCCAGCAAAATGAAGTCTTTGACAATTTCAATCTTTTCTCCATTTATATGGATGGTATTTATTGGCCCAGTGGTGAGGATTTTTGTTTACTTTTTATTGAGATGCAATCCATACTGAAGGCTGTAGTCTTTGATCTTCATCAGTTAGTATTTGAAGTCCTTTTCACTTTCAGCAAGCACAGTTGTATCATCTGCATATCACAGGTTGTTAATACGTCTTCCTCCAATCCTGATGCCACATTTTTCTTCATTTAACCCAGCTTCTTGTATTATTTGCTCAGTTTACAGGTTGAATGAGTATAGTGAAAGAATACAACCCTGGTGCACACTTTTCCTGATTTAAACCATTCAGTGTCTCCTTGACTTACTGGCAGTGGAATTCACCAGGAGATGGAATCAACTCAATGACAGTAGGTATAATTTGCTTTGGGGTTCAAAAGCAGTACAATGGTACAAATAACCCACAAGCAGGAAAAGTCACTATACAGGGCAGCCACACAATACCCAGGATAATGAAAAGAAAAGAAATTAGGTCTCTAGTGAGGATTTCATAGAAATGATGACATTTTAGGGTCTCCCAGGTTGCAATGGTGCACATCTCCATCTCGTCATATCTGTCTGCCCTTTAGGAAATTGGTAAAATGCATTGTGGTTGCTCAGGCCCCCAATTCTATATTGTGGAGTCTCGTGGACATAATAAAGGAATAAGAATGAATTCATGCTAGCTCACATCGTAGATGGGAGTGTGATATTTTTAGAACCCAAGGATAGAAAATGTTGAGCCCCCTGGTGGAGCAGATGGCTAGGATCCAGAGCAGTTCACTACGTCTTGCCAGGACTTCTAATCTTCTCAGAAGTCTCTTGGTTTCCTTCATCCATGCTTCCCTTTGCTTCTTTCTTGTCTGTCAGCATGGCTGGCTGGACAACTACATGACATCACACATGGGCAGTGACTGTGTAGAATAAGCTATGCCACCAGTATTTTAAATAACAACAGGGTCAATCATGGTGGGCAGGTTTCAGATGAGCTTCCAGACTAAGACAGACCAAGAAGAAGGAGTGATGAACTACTTCCAAATATTTAGTCACTGAAACCTTATGGATAGCAGAGAAACCGAGGTATTAGTGAGCTGAAATAGACTGGCACCAGCCATTTTGAATAAGATAGTAAACCATGTCATTATCAGATTCAAAATGCCAATACCAGTCCATTTCAGCTCACTAATGCCTAAGATATCGATATTTATAAGTTCCATTTCATTTTTCACAATTTCCAATTTTCCTAGATACATACTTCATACATTCCATGTTCTGATTATTAATGGGTGTTTACTGCTGTTTCTCTTCATTTTAAGTTGTGTCCCATCAGAAAATGAAGGTCCGAGGACTTTACTCCCACAGGCTTTACTCCATCCGCGTCATCATGATCAACTCTACTTTGAGGAGGCAGCTCTTCCCCAGTCGCATTTTGAATGATTTCCAACCTGAGGGGCTCATTTCTGACCCTATATCTGACAGTGTTTCTCTACTATTCATAAGGTTTCCAGTGACTAAATGTTCGGAAGTAGTTCACCTCTTCTTCTTCCTAGTCTGTCCTCATCTGGAAGCTCATCTGAAGCCTGTCCACCGTGAGTGACCCTGCTGGTATTTAAAATATCAGTGGCATAGCTTCCAGAATCACAGAAACACACAAGCCACCACAGTACCACAAACGGACAGGCTAGTGGTGTCTGCCTCTGGTAACCACTAATGAACTTTAGTCTCTATGTATTTGTTTATTTCATCTGTATGAGATCATACAGTGATACAATATTTGCCTTTTTGTGACTAACTTATTTCACTTTGCTTTCAGTATTCATCCACGTCGTAGCACGTATTAGGACTTCGTTTATCTTTATGGCTGAATAATATTCTAGTGTATGTATAACTACATTTCGTTTATAGATTCATCTACTGATGGACAATTGGGTCAGATTTTGGAGAGCGATTCTGGTGGACACTGTGCAGTCTATGAAATGCGTTTCCATGGTGCAATTGCTACTCTGGGGTTAATCAACTCTGATGGGGAAGGAAGTGGCACAATGGATTCTGAAGACAGAGCAAGGCTGTAGGGCCATGGTGGGGCTGATCACCTATGATGGGTTATAGGTGGGGAGCCAACGGTTAGCATCTCTGCCATGGATGTTCATGCAGATGGTCCTAAAATACTGCAATTTTGGTTGTACCCAGGCTGTCATACATCATGCCATTCATTGCTGAGCTATGTGGGAAGTTTTTTGAAGCTTATGTGCACACCTTACCCATTTCAGTGGTTGCAGAGATTCTAGCCATTTTCTACATATTCCAGCCCCCAACATCTTAAACACAGAAACAACGTTAATATCAGCGTCTTATAAGCAGGGTTCAATTGGTCGGTCAAAGGGTGTTGGCTGAAGGAGAAACCTGAGACACGTTCATGTGGGCTTGTAGTGGCTGGCAGTGTGGGTCCAGGAGTTATACTCCTAAATTCAAATCCTGGTCCCATTCTGCAATGACCTAATGACCTTGGGCAAGTGTCTAAGCTCTCTAAGCCTCAGTTTCCTCATTTGTGAACAGTTCAAAATAAAGCCATCTGGTGGAAAAGAAAACATACTCCAGGGTTAATGAGGAATATGCTCTGGGAACAGCTTCTGACCCCAAGAAACCTGTTGCCTTCAATTCAATTTGGACTCATAGCAACCCTATAGAACCAAATAGAATGGGTTTCTGAGGCTGTACATTTTTTCGGAATGAGAAGCTGATGGGTTTGAACCACTGAACTTTCTGGTTAGCAGGCCAGTGCTTAACCCGATGTTCCATCAGGGTTCCTTCATGGTAGTAAATGCCAGTCATGACCACCCTGACTATTGTTCCCTTTAAAACCTTTGGGACCCAATGAGCTCGATGATTTCTATTCCTCCAACTTCCCTGCTGTCCTCACGGCTAACTCTCTTCCCAGAACTTGCCTTGACTAGGGGTTAATATACGCGTGGTGGTTCATCGATTAACTTACAGAATGTTGAGCTTTGTGCTCAGAATCAAAACAGTTACCACAAAGATAGGATCGGGTGCATATGCAGAAAAACCCTGACCTGATTTTGCACTGTTTACTGAGTACTCAGTCCAGCTTCCAAATCTTCCTTGTGGATGATTTGCGCCTCCCCCAACCCCCTGAAACCAAGAGAAGACCCCAGATGATTTCTCCAGCCCCTTGGATCCATGTCAATATTATCTAAAACTGCTGTACTTTACACCGAAACACCGACCATCTATTCCAGGAACTTGATTACAAGAGCCCAAGCAGAGAAAGCTGGTAAACCACTCGGTTGTTTCTCTCCTCCAGGAGCCCGGATAGTCCCGGAGATCATGAACTCGTCCTTGGAGCACTGCAACATCTCAGACTGGCTGAGGCTAGAAGCGACGGTGAAGGCCTCCGTGTATGTGGTGGCTTTCTCCTTTGCCACATTCATCACTGTCGTCATCGTTGGCATCGTGTTGCAGAATTTGAAACTGAGAACAGAAGTCCGGTACCTTCTCCTCTGTCATCAACTCCTTTGCATCTCCTTCTACTGCGCTCTGGGGGTTGTCTTCCAGGGCATGCGGGCGCTGCTGGCCAACAGCCCACTGCTGATATGCTGGCTGGTGTTTGGGGCACAGCTAAGTGTTGGAGAAGGGATTCTCTTCACTCTGGCCTTGATGGCTCTCAACACTTACCTGGCCATTTGCTGGCCGTTGAAATCTCTGGCCTTTGTCAATTCAGTTAAGTACAGAATTCTAGCTGGGACTTGGACCATCATTATACTCAAGAATATTTGCCTATTCCTCATGGAGGCCATTGGCTCTACTCCAGTTGATGTTTTAAAATCAGAACCCTCTTGCCCTGTGATATTGAACAGCATTCCTTCCAGAATCATCGGCATGGTTTTCCTTTGCTTTTCCTTATCTGTCATTCTTATAAGTTACTCTCTGATTTACCAGGAAGGGAAACGGGCTGGCCATTTTAATAGGTCCAATATCAAAGCACGGAAAACAGTCCTCATTCACTTGCTGCAGCTGAGTTTACACATCATACCCACTTTGCTATTCATAGGTTTGGGGAAGATTTGTGGGGTATTTTTCTTTGCTCTCAATCTGGTGCTTTTTGGCATCTTTGCGTTTGCCCAATGTTTTAACCCTCTGATCTATGGGCTTCAGAATAGAGAGCTGCGGAACAGATTACATCATTGGATGTGCTGTCAGCTATGGTGTGGTCACATGATGGACAGCAGAGGGCCAGTTTAAACAAGCACACGGTCATTCTGAATCAATAACTCTAATCCCAGTGGGCACGTCAGCTATGGTTAAGGACTTGCCTTTCATTCAACCTAAAAGTGGTGCCTTGACTTGCTGTTGAAAGGAATCATCTGTATTTGTTTGGCTTACAAATAGCATTGATGCATATGCTGAACTGGTCTCTGCAAAATCACTTTACATCTTTAATCTAAAATGCAGATCAGCATTCTTGGCAGCATGGCCCACTGTACTTGAGTAGGTATGGCAAGTTAGGCAGCTTCTGAGAATGCACTTGAACCCTTTCATCAGTTCGAGTGACTTTTGACTACATATAGTAACAAAGCCAGTAACAAAACAACAGTGATTTTAAAGCATAAAGATTAATATTTTTTCTTAAATAAAATATGTCTAGCGATCAATAGTTCTAGCCTATGGGGCAGCTCTGCAGTCAACAGGCTGGTTGTTTTCTACTATGCCATGATTAGTGTTCTACCTCATGATCCCCGAATGGCTGCCAGTGCACCTGTCATCATGTCTATATTCCAGCCAACAGGAAGGAGGAAGGGAAAAGGCGGGGTCTGAACCCTCCTTCTAAAGACACTTTCTAGAAGCTATACAAAAACACTTTGTCTTGGTTCAGGGTCCCAGAAAACCCTAAGTGTGTTATGTAAACAACTTTCAAAGAGATGACCTCAGTAAAGAGAACATGGAACTGAGTTCTCATTCTAAGCACGTCTGATACAGCAACATGAACGAAAACCTTTCACTGGAGCCTACGTGTGATAATTCTTTTGCATCAGTCGGGAGGTAGTTCCAGAATCAGAATCATGACCATCGGTGCTTTAAACAGAAAGGATTTAGTACAGGAATTGGAAGGGCTGCAGGAGAGGAACCAGGGGCCACTGCTGAGAGGACACCGTGGTAGCTGTAAGCCAGAGGTCAAGCAGCTACGGCCCCCATAGCCATGCCTCTTGAGGCTCCTGACCCTGTGGTCTTGCCCACCAGAAGTGCAGCAGAAAGATGGGCTCCAACTCTCTGTGGCTTCAGAGTCTCATGTGGTTGCTTCTCATTGGTGGAACCCAATGGCATCCAAAACCCTAATAGCAAAGGAACCTGGGAAATGTAGTTCATCATCATTTCACAGATTCAGTTGTACAGGAAGAAATCTTAAAAAGAGAATGGAATGAAGAACAAATGAGCCAAGCCACAGAATCCACCATTCCTACATGTAATTTTATTTACACTGACAACACAATTGCAGACACCCTTTCCTGAGCACCTGTTATACTCCTGGGCTCCCTGGATGGTGGAATCCGTTTACTTGCTTGACTACAAACAGAAAGCTGTCTGGTTCTAGGCTACCTAGAGGTACTGCAATAGAAAGGCCTGGTGATTTATTTACAACAACAACAAAAAACTCCAGTCATTGAAAACCCTGATGAGCATTGTTCTCCTCTGACACACCAGGGATTCCCCTGTGTTGGAGTTGATTCAACAGCAACTTGTTTTACGATTTTTGTTTTGTTTTGCTTTGTTTCTTTTTGAGTTGCTGTGGCTTAATGCTCTGGACTGCAAAGTCAGTTTGAACCTCAAGGTCTGTGGTTCAAGCGTAGCGTTTTGGACAGAGTGTTACTGCAATTGCTGTGATAATTCTTCTAGTCCAAGAATAAAACTGGAGTTTAATAAGAACACAAAGAGGTAGTGCCTGGCCTTTCCACAGTTCATCTTAAGTCACAATTGAAGGTCTTGTGGAGGTTAAACAATGCCATCTTTTCAAAGGTACTTTATGGTGTTTCTCCTAAAGCCCATATCTTCATGTTTATTGCACATTCTTTGTAGAATAAGATCGAGTCTTCATTTTACTTACAATAACATTAAAAGAATGACTCCCCCCGCTACCTTTTCCTTAAAGCTTCTTGTAGAAGCCCAAATAGTCTAAGGAAAGAAAAAGTACATTGTTAGCTAGTTTAGAAGGTCAACTTTACATAGTCATTCAGACATTGACCCTCATTGTAAATGGTTAGGTAGAAAATGACTAGTTGAAACAATAAAAATTTATAGGAATGACAGTTTTTTTTAGTGTTTTTGTAAATATTTTCTAAAAAAAATGGATTTTTTCTACCAATCTACACAATTCTGTTGTTGTTGTTAAGTGCTGTCGAGTCAGTTCCAACTCAGAGAGACCCTGTATGGAATTTCTGAGATGCAGCTGGTGAGTTTGAATCACCAACCTTGTCATTCAAACTGACATTGTGGTCCAGTGCTTATCCTATAGTGCTACACCAGGACGCCAGGACACGATTCTAACTAAAGGAAACTTAATACAGATAGCTCTCTAGACCTGTATTTACTTATTGATTTTTTTTTTTTTATTGTATATGAACCAGCCCTGTCATGTATCACAAATTTGTTGGTTGTTGTTGTTGTTAAGTGCCGTTGAGTCAGTTCCAACTCAAAGCGACCCTGTGTAGGGTTTTCAAGGATCAGTTGGTGAGCCTAAACCACTGACCTTGCAGTTCAAATGGCTTTGAAGTCTGATGCATTAATGCACAGGGCCACACCATGACTCCCCACCAAGATGTTGTTGTTGTTATTAAGTGCCTTTGAGTCTGTTCCAAGCCATAGTGACCCTGTATAGGGCTTCCAAGGAGTGGCTGGTGAGCCTGAACTGCTGACCTTGCAGTTCAAACGGCTTTGCAGTATAGTGTTGTTGTTAGGTGCTATCTAGTTGGTACCAACTCATAGAGACCTTGAGCACAGCAAAATGAAACACTTCCTGATCCTGGGCTAACCTCACTATTGTTGCCACACTTGAGTCCATTGATGCTGCCACTTGACCAATCCATCTTGTTGGGGTCTTCCTCTTTTTCTCTGACCCTCCACCTTACCAAACATGATATCCTTCTCCAGCGACTGGTCCCTCCTGACAATATGTCGGAAGTATGAGAGATGAAGTTTGGCCATCCTGGGCTCCAAGGAGCACTCTGGCTGCACTTCTTCCAACACAGATGTGTTGGTTCTTTTGGCAGTCCATGGCACTTTCAATATTTTCCTCCAACACCAGAACTCAAATGCATCAGTTCTTCTAAAGTCTAGTGTTGTTGTTATTATGTGCTGTGGAGTGGGTTCTGACTCATAACTACCCTGTACAGGGTTTCTGAGGCTGTAAATCTTTACAGGAGCAGAAAGCCTCATCTTTCTCCTGTGTAACAGCTGGTAGTTTTGAACTGCTGACCTTGTGGTTTGCAGCCTGATTCGTAACCACTACACTACCAAAGCTCCTTATGCTTCCTAAGAAGAACACATTTTATATTACATCAAATCCAGTAAGCTAGATGACTCAGCAGCTAATCCATTGCCATCGAGGTGATTCTGACTCAGCAACCCTATAAGGACAGAGCACAACAGCTCCAAGGGGTTTCCAAGGCTGTAGGCCTTTCCAGGGTTAGACTGCCTCCGCTTTCTTCCACAGAGTCGCTGGTGGCTTTGAATTGGCGATCTTGCAATTAGTAACCCACGTTGCTACCGGGGCTCCTAGTTAGATGACAGTTGGCTTTCGTTAACAAGAACAAAAATCCTAAAGGTCTAAGTGTTTTGTAGAAACTCAGTTTTTGTGTGTGCAAAAGTACACATATTCGTGGCCCATTTTGGTAACACTAAGACAATAATTAAGTTGTTTGATATGTATCATTTTAAGACAAAATGTGCCTCAAAATGTGCCTCAGCTCTTCACTGCTGGAGAAATGTGAAGACCTACAGTATCAATACTTTTCCCCTTCTCCTTTTCAGGGGATGAGATTGTATTAGATATCCTTTGGTTATTCAGATAAGTTCATTTCACAGATGGGAAACTGAACAAAATGAAACGAGGTTGGACAGATACTGCCACAAGGACAGATGACATATAGCTATATTGTTGAGTTCCAAATACTCCTGAAGTACAAGGTCTTAATTCATTAAAAACAATGAAATGGTCAAGGCAGCCAAAACATGAAAACATTCAGGTCGGATTCTTGCTTGCAAATGTCTTAATGCACCTTCCCCTTCCAAGGTGTCCTTTGAAACAGCCTTCAGCTTGGTAGCAGTCTCCGTTTTCCAGGTTTTCTGATCTAAAAAGGTGATTTTCTACTTGTAACATTCACCATTAGAATGGTATTTTCATATTTTCAAAGTCAAATTATTATTTTTAAAATAAAAATTTTTATGTGAATAGGGAAGATCTGGTATAAAATTCAAGACGTTCAAAATGACGTTCAGTGAAAAGCGAAGGTATCTTATCCCAGGTTCCCAGCCCCCCAGTTCCCGTCTCAAGTCAAAAGCAGTGATAAGTTTCCTGTGTTTTCTTCACGAGATCGTCTACAGAGAGCAGAGAGCAAAATGCTGATACTATCTTGCTTGAAAAATAATTTTGCGTTGGATATTCTGAAATTAAGGCGCTCTGGTAGCATAGTGGTTATGAATTGGGCTGATAATCCCAAGGTCAGCAGTTTGAAACTACCAGCTATTCCACAGGAGAAAGATGAGGCTTTCTGCTCCTGTAAAGATTTATAGCCTCGGAAACCCTGTACAGGGTCGCTATGAGTCAGAATCGACTCCACGGTATATAACCATCATCACTACCATTCTGAACTTGGATTGCTGGTCCAATTTGCATTCAGTACGACAGTTCATGACATCAGCAACAATCATCTTCACTGTGTGACAATCCCTGCCCTTCCTGTTAATTACCAATAACTCAATACAATAGACCACTGCCGGCCATTGCACCATTTCTTTGATGAGTTTGCTCTGGTGTGTGGTCTTTGATCTTAGGTAGGTGTGAGCCCATTGTTGAAGCAGTATGTCAGTCAGTCTCATTTAGGGTTTTCCTCCTTTTTGCTGTCCTTCTACGTTACTAAACATGGTGGTTTTTTCTAGAGATGGGTCTTTCTTGACAATAGGTCCAAAGTCAGTGAGCTGAAGTCTCTGTATCCTTGCTTCTAAGGGATATTTCACCCATGAGAACCTTA